CCAGTTTGGAATTCACGACATTGAATTAAAATGGTTCCAATCATACTTAAGGAATAGAAAGCAAGTGTGTTCTGTTAATGATCAAACTTCTTCTGCAAGAACAATAATATGCGGAATTCCGCAAGGATCCATACTTGGTCCATTATTGTTTTTGCTATATATTAATGATATGCCTGATATTCTAGAAAGGACAACCCCATGTCTTTATGCCGACGACACTCAGATATCTTCCTCTTCGCATGATTACGATACATTGATTGACAATTTGAATATGGACCTTTCCAGTATTCATAAATGGCTTGCTAAAAACAAACTAAAATATCATAGGAAAAAAACAAAAGTCATGTTTATTGGATCTACGCATAATCTAAATCATAAAATAGGAAATAGACCCGTTGAGATTAACAAAATCCCAGTCCCACAAACCAATACATTTAAATGTCTAGGTGTAAATCTAGATGAAAAATTAAGTTGGGAGAAACATATTGATTCTGTATGCCATAAGATTAGCGCTGGAATAGGAGCAATTAAAAGAATAAAACCTTATGTTCCACACAAAACCTTACATGATGTCTACAAAACATTAATTCAGCCTCATTTTGATTACTGTTCTCCCCTGTGGGATAACTGCGGTTTGGGACTTCAAGACAAATTGCAAAAATTCCAAAATCGAGCAGCAAGGGTGATTACCGGAGCTGACTACGATGTAAGATCGTCTGAAGTCCTAAACAAATTAGGCTGGGAAACCCTGGCTAGGAGACGAGAACAAAACAAGCTAGTATTGATGTATAAAGTCTTGGGGAACCACACTGCGCCAAACCTTAAAGATCTTTTTTCTCGGAGAAATGCATCGCAGAATATTTATGATTTACGCAATAGCGAAACTGATCTCTCGTTAAAAAAAACGAAAACGGAATTTCTAAAGAAAACATTTGGATACAGTGGAGCAATTCTATGGAATAGTCTGCCGCAAGATGTCAAGGCGGCTGAGTCAATTACGTCATTTAAAACAATGGCGAAATTGCATTTAAGCAGATGATAAGCTAATTTCTCCAGGACCAAATGATGGGAGGACAATATAGATTGTGGGCGGGAGGGGGGTTAGTTTTGCGTGAGGGTGGGTGGGTACTTGTTTAGGGGGTGGAGGTTTGGGAGGAAGATGATAATATTTTAGGGTGGGATTCTTACATATTTTGTTCTATATATAATTAACATTTAGCTCTTTGTGTGTATACGCCCTTCGTGGAAACCAGTTGTAAATAATTGTCGAAGTTAGCGTATTGAAATAAAGTTTTACATTACATACATTACATTATATTATCGCTCTACATGACGTTTCATGAAGTATAGATGATCGCTGACAAGTAAGGACCGCGGGCGCGAAGAGACGAAGGCGGCGAAAGAAGGAAGAATTAAACTAAAGGGTTGAAACTTCGGCGGGTCATCGTTTGATGTGTTTCATAAGTAGGTTGTTCTCCGGAAATTTTGCACGGGGCCCCAATGTGAGTTAGGATTGAAAAAAATATTGTATTTATTTTTAAAAACTTACTTGAATCCCTTGATCATCCATTATTTCTTCTCTCGAAGTTCTGTAAACCTTTTAAATGGCTCGGACTCATTATACTTGACGTCACGAGAACAACCTACTTATGGAATACATTGTGCGAAAAAACACTTCGAGTGTTTCATGTAAAAACATACGAAAAATCAATCGTTTATCGAATCTACTACATCAGTTGTGAAGATATATCCAAAAAGACATAGAATCTGCAAAAAAATATTCGAAAATACCGATAAATTGTGAATTTTAAGGCATTTAGAAATGTCATGTAGTCGAAGTTTCAACCCTTTAGTTTAATTCTTCCTTCTTTCGCCGCCTTCGTCTTTTCGCGCCCGCGTTCTTATTTGTCAGCGATCATCTATACTTCATGTAGAGTGATAGTATAATGATTCAAGCAGTTTAAAATGTTTACAGAATTTCGAGAGAAGAAATAATCGATTATCAAGGGATTCAAGTAGGTTTTTAAAAATAAATACAATATTATTTCAATCATAACTCATAGTGGGGCCCCCTGTGATCCAGCTGCGATTTTATACTGTTATCTTTTGGCAGTTTTCCAATTAAAATGAATGACGACGATATAAATACGGCGAGGGTTGAGGGAAGCGCTTTTGCAGGTGGCAGATTGCTTATACGTGTGATTTAGGCCCCAGTTAAGCCTGTTTTCCACTAGCGAATTTCTTCGCGCGAAGCGAATTTTGTATTGTTTAAATTAAAAAGAATGGATTAAAAATCTAATTAGTTCCAGCCGAGAGCTCATAATACAAAAGATTCGCGCGAACAAATTCGCTAGTGGAAAACAGGCTTTACACCGTACCGGATGAATCCGGTATCGTTTATATATATCGATATCGTATCGTATTTAGGGGCGGACCATTTGATTTTTTTGGGGGGGGGAGGTGGAAGATTCAGACTGTGCAAGAATTTTTCCGCCCAGGGGAACAAGACAGCTATTTTTTCCTGTAAAAGTGCAGCGCAAGATATTTTTTCCCAATATATTTCGCGGCAGAATATATAATACCGAGAACTGAATTCCAAGAGCGGCCAAGCCGAAATTTTCACTGTGCTTTATTTTATATGGTTATGTCTTAATGTTCCCCACACTAAAGCGTGCAGGTTTACTTACAAAAAATGTATAACTGCACCAAAACCTAAAACATGCAGGGATAGAGTGAGTACTCGAAAATGCGGGAGGTACAGTATATGAATGACCTGTAACCTTGGGGGGTTCGGGGGCATGCTCCCCCGAGAAAATTTTAAAATTTGAACCTCGGAAATGCTATTTCCTGCGTTTTCAGCCATGGATTCGTCCAACAACTTTGCTGTACTAAGCCTAAGGAACACTTACTGTCCTTTATTTTAAACAAGGGGAAATCACAAAATGAGCTTTGATTAATATGTAATAAAACAAGATTTCAATAATGCGATTTTTAATTGCCCCCCGAATAACAATGTTACTCCCATAGATTATAGATATCTTATATGGTTCCCCCAAATATCGCTCTGTAGTTTTTCAATCGTTCATACAGATAGCTTGTTGGGGATCGGGTTACTTCCTCTTCAGAAATGTTTTAAAATCTAGACTCTCTAAACTGGCATTTTCGCATTAAAATCATCGTATATACAGTACGTTCAACTTGCATCCTGTAGATGGGCCTTTGAAGCTTTAATAGTTTGGAGCTAATTCAACTTGCGAATACGAACTATATTGTTGGGAATACGAACTATAATGTTGGGAATACGAACTGATAATGTTGGAAATACGAACTATAATGTTGCGAATACGAACTATAATGTTGCGAATACGAACTATAATGTTGCGAATACAAACTATAATGTTGCGACTACAAACTATAATGTTGCGAATACGAACTATAATATTGCGAATACGAACTATAATGTTGCAAATACGATCTTTAATTTTGGCGGAAATATGACGCCATAGGAATAAGGCGAAAGATACAGAACCTCTGGCAACCAGGGTAGGTAACGCGTTACCAAACTACAGAATTTAATTTAGAAAAAATAAACAATACAGCCGATTTTATTGCTGCCTGCGCGGCTGCGCACAAGTCTTCGGATAGTTACATAAGTCAGTGGATAAAAGTGTAAAGCCGGTTTTCCACTAGGCGGAATTTTCCGCGCGGAGCGGATTTCTCAATGTCTTGTGATTTCTCGGGTGGAACTAATTAGAAAAGACATGTACAAAAAGAAATTCCGCTCCGCGCGGAAAATTCCGCCTACATCGGAAAACATCAGCCGGTTTATTTGTTTCAGGGTTTTAAACACTATTTTGGAGTGGTTTTCCTCAGACGGAATAGTCACTACACTATGGCATAATATAAATAGTGCATTAAAAGCCCAAACTATGTCGCATGGTCTATAAGCATATGTGCGTGAAAAGGATATATACATTTGAACAGTTGGTTGAAAAGAGTTTATATATAACAATACTGCCGAGAAGATTACGTAAATTTTACTATTTCCTTATCCAAAGCGGTCACCTTACCCGGCTTAATTTAGTATTTTTTTTTTTATTTTTGACCCTCGACATTTTAGACATTTTACCTTCGACAACAGATACTCGAATTCTGAAGTCTGAATAGGCGCTTGTTTTGTTATGAAATTTTCGTATCGTTTGCCGCGTCCAGTATTCCATTAAAATCTTGACACATATATGGAACAAAACCATTATTTTGTTCGCACTTCCCTTCATTTTGCAAACTTCCTTGACGCTTATATAATTATTCTCCCGGAATTACGACATCTTTACAAACACGAAATCGGTAATCTCGACAATATATAGTTCGTGCGAAAGCCTTGGTCGAGTGGACTCAGGAGAAACCATAGCACGTCAATTAGCACGTCAAGAATGTAGTGTGGTGCCTCCCTGACGCAGTGATGCTCGGCATGCAGCAATAATACTCGATCAGCTTGTATAAACAATAATTTTCAAGAACACCTTGTCGGATTTATAACATTAATTTTATTATAATATATATGTGCTGTAAATATGTTGAAACTGTGTCTTGCAAAATTATACTAATAACACTTATTCTTATTTCAATTAGTTGTGTGACGCATGTATGTCAAAGATAATTGTAAGTTCGTTATAGATAAGCTGAATTCAAGCCAAAGTATGCTAATAACATTATTGTATGTATTGCATGATGAAAATATGTAGGTACGGTTTCCGGACCGAAGTTATAAAATGTTGTGACGAACGCTAATTTAGTTAGAATGGTTAGAGGTCGTAAAGTAAAAGACCAGATTGTTGTAATTAACGTATAGTATTTGTGTAAAATAAACTTTGTAAAACGAAAAGTGAGTGTTGAACCAGCCGTGCAGAAATATTCGTTGAACGAAGCCAGCGAATTCTGCGACAAGTGGTCCTTCGAGCCGGATAAAACGAGTAAACTGTTGATAATAAAGTGAAATTATGGCAGACTTAGCGAAACCGAGAAAGATACGAGGAGGTCATCGTGATTATTTAACCAAGATACTCGCTCAAGCTACAGGGATGTTAGAGAACTTCAACGAGGAACTTCGAATTGAAGCTTCTCAGCTTAGGGAAGGTATAGTTGACGCTGTAACAAACATACAGAAACTCGATGATGAAATTGTTGAGCTAATTGCGAGCCACGAGGATTCGACCGAAGAGGATATTATGAAAGAGATCGAGGATGCGGGAAAATTGAGAGCGGACGCTAGAAAGATTGTGAAAAAGCTTGACGAGAAATTGTGTGAGAATAATGTTACCTCCGTTGTGGAATCAAGTGCTGGGTCAACGTCGAATGAGTCGGTAATGACTGCGAGTAAAGTTCGTGCTAAGTTACCGAAATTGGAAGTTAAAAGATTTAAAGGGAACGTGTGCAAATGGCAAGAGTTTTGGGACTCGTTCGAGAGTTCAGTACATTTGAATGACGGTTTATCTGACGTAGATAAATTTAACTATCTTCGAGGGCTTTTAGAAGAGCCAGCAAAGTCATGTATCGCGGGATTTTCGTTGACTGCGGCGAATTACAAGTCGGCTGTTGATATTTTAAAGGAACGTTACGGGAAAAAGTCAGCCGTGCAACGTGCACATATGCAGCAGTTGATGAAAGCCGAGCGTGTTAAGGATGAGAAAGATTTGGTGTCACTGCGACGTTTATGTGATCGTGTTGAGACACACTACAGGGGTTTAGAGGCGCTGGGTATCGAGAAAAATACGTATTCGTCGATTGTTGTGCCTCATATATTGGATTGTTTACCCGAGTCTGTGCGGTTAATCATCACAAGGGAAAAGGACTTCCATGAGTGGGATGTAGAGAATCTACTAGAGCCTTTGAAAAGGGAGATTGAATTGCGGGAAGAACATCGCGAGCCAGAGCGCAAGGGTAGTCGAGAGTTTGTCGAACGCTCAAGCTGGAAACGAAGTCCGTCGTCGGCCCAAGCTTTACACACAAAGTCAAGAGTAGAAGCCTGCGCTTTCTGTTTGGGTATGCATCGCCATGAAGACTGCAATCGAGTGAACAGTAAGGAGAAACGTAAGGAACTTTTAGTAAAGTACTCTCGTTGTTTTAACTGTTTGAGAAAAGGCCATTTGGCACGAAATTGTAATGTTAAAGTTAATTGTAATACTTGTAAAGGGGAGCATCACACTGCTTTGTGTGATCAGGGAAAGTTACATAAAAGTAAGCCCAAGGGACCTGAGGCAGATGGAGGGGATAGGGAGGTAAGCACCACGTTAATTGTAAGTCCAAAAAATAGTATAGTTTCTAAGTCTTGTTCTAAAGTTGTGTTGCAGACGGCTCAAGCAATGTTGGTTGGCAAGAAAAGCGGTCGTGTGAGAGTGTTGTTGGACTCGGGGAGTCAGAGGACGTTTGTTACTGTTAAGGTTGCGAAAGCTCTTGGTTGCGAGGTTGTGCGTGTGGAAAACTTGAGCATTGGGACGTTTGGGCAAAGGGCTTTGGATTCTGAGTTGAGAAGTGTTGTGCGGTTAGAATTGAAGTCTTTGTTTGGGAGCCAAGTTGTGTCTGTTGAGGTTTACGTTGTGCAAGAAATATCGGTGATTAGGAATCAACATTTGGAGGTTGTGAGAGAAAATTATGCGCATTTGAAGGATCTTTGGTTGTCTGATGTTTGTAAGTCGAGTGAGGACTTAGAAGTTGATGTTCTTGTGGGTGCAGATTATTTGTGGTTGTTGCAAAGGGATTGTGTAAGACGCGGTAAGCCCGGCGAACCTGTTGCGATTGATACTGTTCTTGGTTGGGTGGTTTCTGGGCCGATCGGTGGGTTTGATGTAGATGAACCAGTTACTGCTCAGGTTACTCTTGTTTCTAGCGAAGTGCGAAACCCTTCGGTAGATATTACTAAATTTTGGGATTTAGAGAGCACAGGGATAAAAGATCAGAATAGTGATGTGCATGAATCAGTGATTAGTGATTTAAAGTTTAGTGGTACACGTTATTCAGTTGGCCTAACCTGGAGAGAAAGCCAGGATCCCTTGCCCACTAACTATGAATTGAGTCTTAAGCGTATGAAAGGACAGATAAAGCGCCTGAACAAGGATCCAGTATTATTAGGTGAGTATGACTCCATCATAAAAGCGCAAGAAGAAGCAGGTGTTATTGAAAAGGTAAGCCCGAATAAAGTAATTAATCCCAAGTCAAAAGTACATTATATACCACATCAAGCTGTTGTGCGTAAAGACGCAACAACGACGAAAGTCAGAATTGTTTATGACGCCAGTGCTAAGTCGCAAAAGTCTGGTGTTTCATTGAATGATTGTTTGAATGCTGGACCCTCGCTTAATCCACTTCTTTTCGATATTTTGCTTAGATTTCGAGAACAAAGGGTAGCGCTCGTAGCGGACATCGAAAAAGCGTTTTTGAATATTGAAGTTCACGAAAAGGATCGCGATAGTCTGAGGTTTTTATGGGTAGATGACGTGCTGCGAAATAACTTAAATCTTGTCGTTTATCGTTTCTGTAGGGTCGTGTTTGGTGTGAACTCGTCACCGTTTTTGCTCAATGCTACGTTAAGGCACCATATTAGTAAGTACGCAGTGTATGATAAGGATTTTGCCTATAAATTATTGAGAAGTTTTTATGTCGACGACTTAGCTACCGGCGAAGCTAACACAGAAAGTGCGTATTTGTTATATACAAAGGCTAGGGAGCGCATGAACGAAGGTGGTTTTAAGTTGCGTAAATGGCGCACTAATGATAGTGAATTAAGGACGCAAATACAAGAAAGCGCCAATGATTTAGACAAACATGTAGAAGAGGCTGAAGAGCAAACATATGCGAAGGAAATGCTTGCGTGCCAGGCCGGAGGCCAGTTTGGCAAGGTGCTTGGATTGGAATGGGATTGCGTGCGCGACTTAATTAGATTTGACTTTGACCACTTGACTGAAAAAGCGCAGAATTTAGAGCCTACTAAGCGAAATGTTTTGAGTCTTCTAGCTTGTATATTTGATCCCCTAGGACTTTTGAGCCCGACTGTTGCTAAAGCTAAAATTCTTTTTCAGGATATATGTATTAGTAGTCTAGATTGGGACGATGTTTTGACCAAAAGCTTGAGAGAGAGATGGGAGAAATGGTTGAAGGATTTTAGTGAGGCAAAATGGGTGACAGTTGAGAGATATGCCAGCGTATCAGACAATAGTTTAGGGCAGTCAAGCGGAGCAAAGTATTGGTTACATGGGTTTGGTGATGCATCAAAACGGGCATATTGTGCGGTTATTTATCTTGTAACCATAGTGAACGACAAGGCACAGGTTAAGTTAGTAGCCAGCAAGACTAGAGTGTCTCCGATTAAAGAGCTTAGTATACCCAGACTAGAGTTAATGGCAGCTAGGAGTTTAGCGCAATTAATGGATGCAGTTAGACTAGCGCTAGAAGTAGAATACAAGTTTGAAGGCGTGAGATACTGGACTGACAGTAAGACTGTATTGTGTTGGATAAGTAATACAGGTAGCTGGAAGCAGTTCGTTCAACACAGAGTGGACGAGATTTTGAGAATAAGTTCGAAGAGAGACTGGGGCCATTGCCCAGGTATAGAAAATCCCGCAGATTTAGGGGTCGAGAGGGGTTTTAATAACAGAACTTAAAAATAGTGATCTTTGGTGGTCAGGGCCGTCATGGCTGAAGGGTAATCCTACTGACTGGCCGAGTTTGGTAACAGCAGTTCCAACTTTAGAAAGTAAAGTGGAACAGAAGAAATCTTTTAGTGTCAATTTGTTGATCAATACAGATTCATTGTTTGGCATTTGCAATTTGATCAGTTTAGAAAGGTTCAGTTGCCTCAAAAGGCTGCTGAGAGTGACAGCATGGATGAAGCGATTTATAAGCAATTTAAAGCGAAAAAAGTTAGGCAAAGGGGGAGTTAGTGGAGCGTTGGAAGCGAATAAGTTAAGAATTGTTTAACCAATAAGGGAGTAGATTGGAGATTTAATTTGGAAAGGGCCCCATGGTGGGGAGGGTTTTTTGAAAGACTGATAGGTCTTGTTAAAGTTTCTTTAAGGAAAGTTTTAGGAAATTCAAGGCTCACATTTGATGAATTGAGGACAGTTCTGGTTGAAGTCGAAGCTAATCTAAACTCGAGACCGCTGACATACGAATATGACGAGGTAAGCAGTGAGGTGCTTACACCTTCACATTTAGTTTACGGTAGACGAATTACTACACTACCAGATAGTACTGAGGTAGATGTTAGGGAGTTAGGACAGGATTCTACCAAGGGCAATAGCATTGTACGCTTCAAATATTTGAGTACCATTTTGGAGCACTTCTGGAACAGGTGGAAACGGGAATATCTTACAAACCTAAGAGAGTTCCACAAGGTTGGCGTGTCTGCGAAAGGATCTGTGATTGTGAAGCCTGGAGATGTGGTCATTGTGTTTGCGCAGGGAAAGAAAAGGGGGGAGTGGAAGACAGGTGTTGTGCATGAGTTGATTCATGGCAAGGATAATGTTGTACGTGGTGCTAAGGTGTATGTGATGACAAATGGTCGAAGGCAACTCTTAAGCAGGCCTTGTCAGCATTTGTACCCGGTTGAGGTAAAGAAAGGGGATGAAATCAAGGAAGTTGGTGAGGTGAATTTGGATGTGGTTAAGGGAAAGGTCGACGGTACAGAGAGGCGACAAAAAAGGAGTGCTGCAATAGACGCAAGGTGGAAAACAAAGGCGATGCTTGACTCGTAGGTGAGTCAAGGGGGGGAGAGTGTCGGATTTATAACTTTAATTTTATTATAATATATATGTGCTGTAAATATGTTGAAACTGTGTCTTGCAAAATTATACTAATAACACTTATTCTTATTTCAATTAGTTGTGTGACGCATGTATGTCAAAGATAATTGTAAGTTCGTTATAGATAAGCTGAATTCAAGCCAAAGTATGCTAATAACATTATTGTATGTATTGCATGATGAAAATATGTAGGTACGGTTTCCGGACCGAAGTTATAAAATGTTGTGACGAACGCTAATTTAGTTAGAATGGTTAGAGGTCGTAAAGTAAAAGACCGGATTGTTGTAATTAACGTATAGTATTTGTGTGAAATAAACTTTGTAAAACGAAAAGTGAGTGTTGAACCAGCCGTGCAGAAATATTCGTTGAACGAAGCCAGCGAATTCTGCGACACTCACTTTTGCTTCTTAAGCGTTGTTTGTAAAAATGATCAGTACTTTTAAGAGGCACTGAATCAAGTTTAGTAATGTATGCTTTGACTCCCATACAAAATTGGGAGTAATTTTATTTTTCGCGGTTGCCAAACTCACTAATGTAGATAATGGCACAATTGAAATCATCAATTATGATTTAGTAGTATATTTGATATCAAAGTCAAATACAATACACACCAAAGCAATAACAATTTGGGATATTATTAGACAATATCTGTTTCAACTTTTCCAACAATAATTCTGTGGGACATTGCTGATTTCTACATACTTTATTATATTGTGTATGGAAACGTGTTACCCAGTCGTAGTCCCCTCCAACTGTCCTGCACAACGTCAGTCTCAACAAATGCAGGGACCGCAGAAAAGGGGAAGGGGGGCATGTCCACTGTTTGCTGCATCAAGATAAAATCACGCATGAAATTCAAATATTAAAAATCTTTTCTAAGGACAAGTGAAAATTGATTTATCCCAGAGATTTAGTTATATTTATCCCAGAGATTAAAACAGCAACAAAAGATATTACAAGACTCGATTTGCCATGCAAATCGAATGTCTGCTTAAACGAGATAAACTCGGATAAAATTTGATGCAATGTTGATAATAGTGCATGCATGAATAAAAGCCAAATTAAACTAATTGTTCATGTGAACTAAATTAACTTCTTTAAAACTAGATGGCTCTGAACTTTTCGCCTTAATTATAGAGGTCCGGGACAGCGAGGAACATCGCTCATTGTTGCGAAGAGGAGAAAACCTGTATCTGTTTGAGTCAAACTTGAAACACTCTTCTCGTATGTGAGTGAAGTGAATTTGTAATCAAACAACTGCATATTCCAGGAATGAAATTTCGTGTGAAGACCCTGCCCAGTTGTATAGATCTTTCCGTCCTTCCTATTGTACTTATGAAAAGTTTCATGAACTTAACGAACATTTTAAATTCTACGTCGTTTGTCAAGTGCATATACAGAGTGACCTTTATTGACTCGCTATAATGATATAATTTTCTTCTAGAACTTGCCAAAGACAGAACCTTAGAGTCGGAAGAAAAGCTCACTGCAAATCATTTAGGTAAGCTATTTTGCTGAATAGTTGTATCTACCTATAATACAGTATAATTTTTGTATACCATATCTATATAATTTATCTAGTATGCCTGATAAAATTGCGGTTTAACCGAAGGATAACTATATTGGCGTCATGCATGATCGTAATCCTGCTTAGTAAAAAAAGACCAATAATTATAGGGCAAACTAAGTCTAAAGACTTTTATTGAGATAAAGTCGTCGAAATGTATAAGGAAATAGGATTCAAAGCAGATATACAGAATTAACTTGGAAATATAAAACTGGGTATAAGTCATGACATATTACAGATGTACTCGAAAATCCTTATTCTGAGTCAAACGTGCATTAGATCAGGTTTTATATTCAACTATCTACAGGGTGTATAAAGAAAAAACGCAACCTCGGAATTTCCTAAGAAATCACTTTGCAATTCTTAAGCATAAAAGATTTTAGGCCCCTGGGAATTGAAATCGAATTGCTAATAGATCATATTACTGTTGTTGTGCATTAAATAAATGCATAAATTTTGCTTTATGCACTCGCGCGTGCAGTAATTTTGACAGTTATGCTATTTTAAATTCCCAGGTGCCTAAAATCTTTTGTCTTTAAAACAATGTCGATTTCTTGGGAAATTCCAAGGTTGCGCTTTTTTGATACACCCTGTAGATCGTTATGCGTTTTGCTTTAGAAATTCAAACATTTTTCAAATACCTGGATTTAATTAAAGGGCTATCAACCCCCGCTGAGCGTATTGTTTCAAAACATTGAATTGCGTCATTGTCAGTAAGAGGTATTATTTCTGTGCGTCAATCTCCCCCCGTGTGCGAATGTTCTCGTCTATAGCGCTTCAGATATGTTGCTGATTCCTGTCTATGTTATATCAATGTTACGGTAATAAAACCATTAGATCAATTACATGTGATATCTCATGTGACAGACACTGGAGTGGTGGCTTATGCAACGAGCTCGACAAGTGCATAGATTGTAATACCTATCTAAGCAAGGTCAAATCTTGCAAGGGGTTTAGTTATTATACAGGCATCCAAATTTCCATCCACAAAACTTACCTACAATTAGTGCAGATGCACAAAATTTACCCGTAAACCTTACCATGACATCATCACCTTTGTATATATACATGAACTTGCGGTTAGAGCTCGACGACTGGCCTCTGTAGCTCAGTTCAGGTTAGAGCGCTGCACCGGAATCGCAGGATCAATTCCTGCCAAAGGGTCTATATAGTTGTATTGTTTTCAACTGCTCGTGGCTATTAAATGTAATAAATGTATAAAATTTACACTCGAAATTTCAATCTACAATGAATGTGGGCTACCCTATTGATGTGATCTGATATTCCACAGAACGTCTGTGACTATAATTTCTCACTGATCAGTGATGTGAATTCGTTCCCAGTTAACTAAGTTAAGCATGCATGATTTAGCATGCATGATTTGGTCATGCTGAAGTATAGTCATGTTCTTGTATGTAGACTACCCTAAAATATTCTGAATGATGATATACAGAACTCATGTGCGTGCCAGTTGATGGAGTTTCTGAATGTGAGTTACTCTAAACTAAAGTCATCTGATATGTTGTACAGAACTTGTGTCATTGTGTGAATAGGATTAAGTCACTTCTGTGCTTTCTGGAAGGTCAAACAAGGTCAAGTAATGTGCAGTTGTGTATGTTTACGAAGGCAAGCCATCGTATTTAAAACCCCCATTGTCTTACAGAACTCGTGTGAGTAGAGTTAGTGGCATTCTTTGTTGCTTCAGTGTCACAAGGTCAAAGTGGAACACACAGCAGTGGAACAATTAGTAAAAAGTTGTTAAAATCGACACAATCGAGTCAAGAAAACATAAGCTTACTTCCTCGTATGTAGTCCATAGCAACGCATTTTTTATTAACACAGATTGACAGCCTCACAGAACGTTTTGCATGATACGCCAAAATACATCAAGAATATACAAGCGCAGACAAAAATATTGTCCAGTGAATATTTCTGAGGAACATTTGATGTTTTTAACTGATTCAACCAAACAGCGTAGGTGAGGCTAATTAAATGTGATTGGCTGATCAATATAAACCTGTCCAACTCTCTTTGAAACATGAACGTTTCGGCTGAGAATAGAGAATATTCTTCCCTGTATGTAAACGATGGTTTAACAGGTTTGCCTTGGCGACGCATGCAATAAAACATATAATATAATTATATGAATTGACCTTTACAACATTTTAAATACAACTATCAAAGTTCTCTGCCCACGCAAGTTCAAATGTTTCCCAGTAAGTGATTAAGTCAATGAAAATATTTTTATTTCCTTTTTTCCCAGAACAAAATAATTGAAGTAGCAATTTTATATTGATGTGAGAACATGCATGCTTGGTTGCAGTAATTGTACTGCTAGGTTACATAGGATAGTTCCCTTTAGTGTGGCGATGGGCTAAAATTAGTATTGGAGAATTGTTTTGGGGGCTTTTGGGGGCTTTATATGGAAAGACGACGTAGCTGCTCGTACAGAAAGTCCTGGGCACGAAATTGCATTGTCGCGACTGACATCAAAACTGGATAGTGCATCTACTATGCATACGATTAAGGCAATGCCAGCCCGATACAGGTTTGATCAACACAAATCTACCCTCAGTGTTACTGACATGTTAGAAGAGGTTCGAACAGTTTCTGGTAATTGATGGGAATTGTCTAGATAGAAATTGATCTTTCTTCCAGTGATTTACCAGTGAATGACTGCATCAAGTGACAAGTGGGGTTTTTTTATCCTGTGTTTAAAACGTTCTAGTCTTTAGTTCGAATACGCGTGGGAAAGTATTTATTTGAAGCATAAACGTAGAAAAAATACGCAACTTGGTGGTAAAACGAATTTAAACACGTAGTCAAATTCGTTTTGTACTGAAAAAAATTGACACATTTGGAATATCTCTCTTCATCGTGACTAATATTCTTGCTGTTACGTAATCTTTGGCACCCAATGAGCCAATGATGGGTGCCAAAGATTACTCTGATATTCAGTTTTAACTTTTAAAATGAGTGGGTTGACTTGCGAGTAAATTCTAGAATCCCATGACAACAGAACTGAAATCTATTCTGACGTCTGAGTATATTCCCGAAAAATCCTGCTTGATATCGTCAAGTCACTTATTTGAAAATCCAAAAATCATATAAGTAGTATAGGAACTGCCGGTTCTAGACCACTAGTTTTTTTTTCTAGACCACTGGCTTTTTTTTCTAGACCACTAGTTTTTTATCTTCAGTAAAAAGTATTTATTTTCATTATATTAAAATTAATGGTTGGTACCGGTCCATTTAATTAGAATGTAAAACTGCTATTCTTGTTTTTCATTTAACTTATCTCAAAGCTTCGGGATTACCTTACCAGTCCAGCTGAGACCCTAATACGATTATCCTACACTTTCCCAATATCGTCCAACCTCCCTATTCCAGAGCCTCTTCGACATCTTTTATTTTCTCCTTGGGGGTACACAAGGCAGGGGGCCCTACCGGTTCGGATACACTATTGGAATCATCCTTTTTACCCTGTGTGGTCACTTCAACCTTAATATCATTGGATACAGAGAAATTTATATCACCAACCTTCCCATTTTTATTAGACCTCCTACGACAGCCACATATTTTACCCATACATGAGAAGCATGAACGCCACTTTGACATGATACCTTATGATACAACACATGTTATACACCTGACCCTGAATACCGCAATGACCAGCAAAAAGACAAGTCCATACTTGAACCAGTTGGCATTGAGTGTTCTGGTTTAACTTTAACACACCAAGCTAGCGTGTTATCTACCAACTCAGCCTGGTTTCCTAAATAGAACATACTATTACCCTTGAAGACATAGCAAGCTGTACTTCCACCATTAATTGTGTAAGTTCCATTGAACCAAGTGTGTGATAGTCTTCTTAAGTCTATTGTTCTGAGAACGATTTCCTTCCTGACTTGTGTAAATTTTCCATTAGACTGCTTTTCCCATACAGTAGCCCATAGAATGAGTCCTAAGGGTATATTTAGAATAGTTGAAAAAGTTGGGAAATCTGATTTAATAGTAATTGACTCAAGGTTGAGGTCTGTCATATTATTAATAGTATCTGTTCTCCATGAAGGTGGAATTTGATCTTGACAGTAAGCATAGTACCTTGTTGCTGCAACTGATACACCACGATAACCCCAGATCCATTCTGCATAGATATGACGGTTTATTCTTACGTATCTCTTATCAGCCACTGCTTGTACAAGACCTGAGGAAGGTTTTAGGAAATTCTTTTCTACCCATTGCTTGTTAACTGCATCCTTATCATTTACCGGATCCCTTAGATCAATAATACCACTTGAATCTCCCATATCCAAATCACCCTTTACCAGTCCACCTCCACTACTCATGAACTCATCAGTTGCCCATTTCTTATTTACAGCAGAACCATCCGTAGTAGGATTACCTACCCTAGTTAACTCATAATCATTAACATCAAGATCGCTATCTAGAGTACCACCATTACGTTTCAAAAACTGCAGACCCCAGGAGTCTATACTCTTAGCGGAAAGTGCTGCGGTGTCCCCAACCGACCCACCTTTGAGACCTGTAATACTATAACCCCCCATGTCAATATTACCTGTCATAGTAAACCCGCTGCTACTAATTGAGCTTCCACTGACGTGATCGGTGACCCATTTCTTAGATACAGCAGAATTATCAGTTGTAGGAGCACCTAGTTTTATTATTTCATTGTTGTTCATATCAAGGTCATCATTTAGGGTTAGTCCGTTATAAGTCTCACGCTTACTTCTACCTCCAGCAATCTTATTTTCTACCCATCTTTTATTAACGCCAGATGTATCACTACTAGGGTCTCCAACGTTTGTTATTCCATGTCCTCCCATTTTAAGGGAACCAGACATTGTCCTCGTACCACTAGTATCCAGAAGGTTGATTGTATGTTCTTTAAGATACTTTAACCGTACTAAGCTAGATTCAATTAGAGGATCATGGAAACTATTAGAAGAGAACTCAAAATTAACAGTACCCATGACATTTCTTTGGATAGAACCATCAAGCTTTAAAAAAGTATCATTATTTGATTTAAACCAAGATTTTGTAATAACAGACTGATCGCTGGTGGGATTCCCAGCGTTTACTATTTCATGTCCACCCATTTTAAGATTACCAGTCATTACATTTAAACCGTTACGATGAACGAAGTGACCCAAGTTATTATCCAGAAGGGCTTTTCTTACTAGACCGCTAGAAGTGTTGGCATCTTTACTTGTATGTGGAACTTCATCAAATAGAACACTACTTCGGATAAATTGATTATTACCACCAGACAGCTTAAGAAAGTTGCTGGTGTTTGATTTAAACCATCCCTTGCTAACAGCAGACTGATCTTCAGTGGGGTCCTTAAGATTTTTAATTTCATAGTCCTTCATATCAATATCGCCAGTCACAGGTTTATTTAACATTCCAACTACCCAGTCCTTATTAACAGCAGACTTTCCAGTTGTAGGATCGCCCAAAGCCTTTATCTCTTTTGTTGACATATTGAGGTCATTTGTAAGTATAAGACCAGGTAGACTAGCATGTATATGCCTACGGCTGCCTTCAACCCAACTCTTACTAGCAGCATCACCTGGATTAGTAGGATTATCAAGATTAGTTATCTTATTACCTTCCATGTCAATATCCCCAGTCATTGTAAACCCTGCTGGTTGAATTGTAATGGCAGCCTGTTTAATGATTTCATCATCCACCCACTTTTTTGTGACCGCAGACGTATCATCTGTAGGAGCACCTAAACCCTTTACCTCATTACCATCCATCTCAATGTCACCCTTCATGGTAAATCCATCCTTATCAAACACACTACCACTTGATGGGTCAACTTTATTTACTCCTTTGTTGTATCTCCGATAGAGAGCCATTTTTATAACATACACAATGTTTCACAGAACAGTTCTCAATATAAGAAACCCAGCAACAGACCCGATACCAAGGCCAGCTAAAGCACCATCACCTAGGGACTCACGCTGTGCGATAGGTGTGCTAGTCTTAGGAACAACCTGAGGTGTAGTATTTACAGAACTCCCCGGAACTTTCGTGTTTCCACTAAGAGTATCAAGGTGGTGAACTGGTGTGCTATTTTGATGCTGTTTCTTTGGAGGATCAGCTTGCTTAACACCGACATAATTTACCTTAGGATTCACCCCAAATTTCATTGTATTAGTTGCCGTCTTTAGAAGGTTATTATAACCGAGTATCGGAGTTTTTAGAATAATAAAGTTCGATGGGATTAAAACTATTCCAGGGGATAAATTACTTTGTAAAATAGTACACTTCACAATAGTTCTAAAGTCACGTTGCGTTTGAAGAGCCTTTGGACCGTTTCCTTCTATTGACCACCTTGTATTAGCTTGAGATCCCAGAATAGCATACACATAGGACTCAATACTCTCCTGAATAAGCTCAACACCTAACTTAGTAAAGCCATTGCTTTTTTCAGCTATGAATGAAAGGTAATCACTGCCAGACAAAGGTCCTGCAGTAGTTGTAGCACCACTTCCGTCAATAATATAATTCTGATTTATTGGAATGTGTTTTCTTACAATATCAAGGTTAACACCAAGTTTATCAATAGCATCCTTACTAACTGTTAACTTTCTAGTTGTGTAGTAAAGATGGTACCTCATAATGGATGTTATTATTTTAGGAACGAAATTACTTTCACGAACGTGTTCTAAGGATACACCGCTGAGATAGCTAGCTATATAGGCGCCAGACAACATTCTAGTGTATGGTATCGTATTGAAGGAAACCTTCCTTACATCCTTATTAGTTAAATTAGGACCTTCATCCCAACCTACACCAGCATCAGGGAAGTTAGACATGAAATAACTGTTTTCATTTACATAGATCTTAAAGTTGTTAAAGTTGTAGGGAAGACTTACAGGAGGTCGATATGTATTAATATGATAGCCATCATCATGAATTAGAACTCGACTGACACCCAACTTTCTCTCATCGTAAATAGGATCCTTTGGAAAGACAAGAGGTTCATATTTTTGAACGGTGCCATTACTATTCCAAAGATGTGGCCATCCTTTTGGTTTTAGAGGAGGTGCCACCACCTTTGGTTTTATTGATGTGAGATAAGATGTAAACTCCTTATCCTTCTTAAAACCGTCATATCTAATATCATATGAACATATACCATCTAAATCAACAAACCAAGTGATAACTCCTATATCACCACTACTAGTAGCCTTTGCTTCAAATTTAAACCTATTCATGTCAGCGTGAGGGTACTTTTTAATAAATCTAGCCCTTTCAGCATTCTCTGCATTTTTACCAGCAACAGGATCAACATGATTTCCATACTTTTTTTCATAGTCCTGGTACGACCGATACGGCGACTTACCAACTTGTCCTCCACCTAGTCTCATTCTTAATAACCTAACGTATGTTATTAAGATGAAGTTCACAATTTTACTGCGGAGCTCGCACACAGTTGTATCACTACAGAACTCAGTTCTAACAAGTAACTATAAATCAGTCTTTGTGAAGAGAGTATCAGTATTCTGGGAGTACTTTAACATAAGGGAACCAATAACTATTCTCAAAGTGAAAACAGATGATGGAGAATCTGATGTGATTGTTAATAAAGGTTACTACACATTTGACAGTATGAAGAAGTTACTTGAAAGACACGGTGTTAAGCTAACCTACTTTGCTGAAACAGCAGGATGTCAAATAGAGGCAGTAAAACAAGATACCACAATAGAAACACGATTACTGACCATGTTAGGTTTTAATAGATTTTTTAATCCAATGATCCTGCTGAAAGGGAGGAGTTTGACAAGTGATAGTAAAGTTGACTTCAACAACGGTCTACGATACGTAAATATACACTGCAATCTGGTAAGTAATAGTTTTAACGTTAACCCTTGGGGAAGACCCAGCGATGTAATAACAAGTGTCACAGTTGCAACTGACAGACCATTATTAGGCTCGGTAGTTAGTTACATTGATGTTGAAAGCAGGATTTCAGTTATTAAGGGTTCATTCTCAGAACTTGTATTCCACATGACAGATCAAGACTCCCATTGATATAGGTGAAGTGCTACTTGAGATGTACCTTGAGTAGCGAGCTTACATTAGTTAATATAAGATGGACGATGATATTATGAAAGAACAAGGACTACGAGATATTTACTACAATCCTAAAACTGGATTTCAAACACCAGAGAAACTATATCTTAGAGCAGTATCAGACGGACTTAAAGTAACCAGAAACCAGGTCAAGAAATGGATAAACGAGCAAGATACATACACAAGGTACAGACAAGTATTCAGGAAACATAAGTTCAGACAGACGTACGTCCAAACTTTAGGTGAGCAGTTACAAATGGATTTAGTTGACATGACAAAATATGACGACAAGAACAAGGGATACCGATGGATTCTCACATCCATTGAAATACTGAGTAGGTACGCATTCACAGTACCAGTGTATAGGAAAAACGCGACATCAATGAAGGACGCCGTCAATAACATTTTAGAGCAATTTAATAATCGTTTTGGTAAATACCCAAAATTTGCCCAATTTGATCAGGGCACAGAGTTTTACAACAAAGAAGTAAAATCATTGCTCAATAAACATAACATTGAGTTTTTCTCTACTTACTCAGACAAAAAGGCCGCAGTTGTGGAAAGGTTTAACAGAACACTGAAAGCGCTAATGTGGAAGTACTTTTACAGTGCCAGTACATATAAATGGTTAGACGTCCTTCAAGACATAACTGATAATTACAACAGTTCAGTGAACAGATCAATTAAAACAACACCGGACAGTGTAAATGACTCCAACTGGACTGAAGTATGGCAGACACTTTTTAGTCACAATCTAGGCAAGCCGTCAGAACCAAAGTTTGCTGTTGGAGAAAGTGTCAGGATCTCGAAGTACAAATCAGTGTTCACAAAAGGGTACGAAGCAAATTTTACAGAGGAGTTGTTCACTGTGACGGAAGTGTATCACGGCCATTCGAACACGTACGCAATAAAAGACAGTGCTAATGAACCAATAATTGGCAGATTCTATGAACAAGAACTGTATAGCGCTGAAGTAAGAGAACCTGATTTCAGAATAGAGAATGTATTAAGGAGAAGAACAGTGAAGGGTAAAAAGATGGCCCTCATTAAGTGGTTAGGTTATGATGACAAATTTAACAGTTGGATACCAGCTGGAGACATCAAGTCCCTAACATAAGTTAAAGTATTATGGAGGACTACGATGACATAGAGTTGGAGGAGACAGAAAAGACGTTTCCTCTATATGACGACCTCAATTATGATGACCTAACGACAGCTTTTAGTAGGTTAGATACAAAGGTGAAGGGAGAGGCTATGTATGGTGATGACCCTATAGTAATAACCAATCTTAAAAGTGAACTGGACTATGTAAAGAATCTTATGGAGAGACGTGAAACAGAAGAAACAACTTTCACCGAAGGAAATGATGGTACAGTGAACATTTCGGGTCCATCAGGAAGCACAACCATCTCAGGAGTCGACTTCGTGGAAGACCCAAACAATGTACTTCCAGATGTGCTAGATGCATTCAACGAATCATTTGAAACTAACTGGGATGAAATAGAAGCCCGCCTAGAGAAGCTAAATAAGATTTCAACAGCAAATAAAAAGAGAGATTTCGAAAACCAAGTGAAGCGTGTCCAAGCTGTAACAAGAGTTATCAAGGGTAAGGAGGGACTGATACTAGACCCTAAGAATAGATACGTCAGGGAACTCATCAAAAGATCATCTGTAAGAACACTCAAAGATGGCACAGAGGTGTTCGTATTTAGAAGTGAACAAGGTATTGACAAAAGTGGGACACAAATAATGAAACGTGGTAAGACCAGCAAACCTGTGTACTCCAAGAACTCCATTGCATTGAGAGAATACAAGGACCTTATAAAGAAAATCAAGCAGACCCCTATGGATCCTGACGCTAGAATTACAAGTGAAGAATCAATTTACGAGGATACCAGAGAAGAGCCACAATTTGATACCAGTGATGAGGAATTCGCTGACCGTGAGAACATTGAGTTAATAGACATAGGTGCAAAACTAGGAGATCTTCCAGGGCTAACAATGCAGGAAAACAATGAACTGAGAGGAGTACTTAACCCACCTGAGGGATCAAGCATAGAAGGCAGAACAGGTCCCAATGGAGCGTTACAAATTCAGGCTGACTACTTTAATGAAGCTATTGGTGAAACTGTGGAACGCGCTACATCTGTGGTAGGTACAACGGAGTACAATGCTCTCCAGGAGAGAATTGACAGTTTGAAGGAAGCTAGGGATAGAACACTAGAGCAGAGAATAGTAGAGGAGGCAAGAGAGGCACAGTTGAGAGATATTTCTAGATTACGCAGATTTATAGACTGGGTAGGAAAGGAAAAAGTGGGTTTAGCTGGGATAGCAATATCAACAGCAGGTCTACTAACAACTATTCTTATTCATGTCCGGGAAGCCATTGTGAAGACAGCAAGAGCCACCGGTAAAGTATCAAAAGCATTAGCAAATTTAGCAAAGAAAGCAGGGCCAATTCTAGTTCCAATCCTGAACGCAGTTGCAACAGCGCTATCATGGGGTGCCAAAGGAGTTGCATGGTTATAGCGTCTAATTTATGGGTTCTAGCTGTAGCTGCGGCCTTAATAGTATATAATTATTACAGTAAGTAAAGTATTAGAAATGGCTGAGAGCATAGAATATAAGGTGGCATGGATGGAAAGGGTAAGTGCCATTCTTGATGAATATAATAACGAGTACTCGGAGATTTGGGAAGGAAATTTAGGAACTGAGGACCTGGATGAGTTGAACAGATTATATCTCGGCTATAGGGAAATGAATCCCGAAGAATTGAAATGGACTCTGAAATAGACATTCTCCGAAGGAAGGTAACAGGACCTGGGGAACTGGACGAGAAAGAAGTTATTATAAAAGAAATTGAATACGTCAGCCAGCTAAGAAGAATGAGGATTTCTAGGAATAAAGAAACCGAGGCCTATTTAAACGCGACACATGGTACTCTCAAAGAAGAGGTAAAAACATTAGTTGTACTTAGGAGAATAGCTAAGGTTGAAGTTAGAAGAAATAACTACTCAGGAAAAATAGACAAGCTGAAGGGTATTATGGAAAAACTAGGTTTTAATCCTAATGAGCCAGAGGAAGAGTTGGAAGTAGAGGAAGAAGAACGTAGGAAAGAAGAAGTTAGAAAAAAGGAGGAAGAAGAACGTAGGAAGGCTGCCGAGTTAGAAAGAAAAAGGCTTGCAGAAGAAGCTGCCGAACGTCAAGAAAAAGCTGAGGTAGAGCGTAGAGAAGCTGAGATTAAAAGACTACAGGAAACCACCAGGGGTGATAAGGAGAAAACAGAGTACTGGAGAAAAAAGCTCGAGGAATGGGAAAAACAAAAGTCTAAACCTAAGGAAGAACCTAAGATCTTCCCAAAGAAACCTCAGGTTGAGGAAGAACCTAAGAAACCCAAGACAGAAAAGCCTTACAGAGGCAAAGAACCCAAAAAGGCCAGCAGAGGTAAAAAGACTGAGGAGCCTCTACCTGGGGTAGACACTGAATGGCTAAAGGATACTTTTAACTTTGAGAACCTCCTATTGGAGGTCGCAGAGGATAGTATCCCGGAAGATGATCAACCTATATTTAGCGGTGATAGTACAGAAATCATGTTGAAGAATGTTAGGGAAGATCTTACGAGGTATGAAAGATTCAAATCATGGGTTAAAGATAACTTCGGATTTGTGCTTGCAGGTGTTATGGTATCAGTTGTTGCTCTTCTTACAGCTATCATCATACAGACTAGAAAACTATCCTCAATGATAGCATACTCTTCACACGAAGGAGGAGGTCCTTCACCGTCACCATTTCCACTTCCTAATATAGTAAGCAAACTGATTAAATTCATATCATCAAACTTATGGGTGGTAGCTGTAGGTATCGGAATAATTTTACTTTACATGAACAGCTAAACATTACATATTGTATACAAGTATGAATACCACAGAAAGAGAACTCCAACCTGGCTTCAGGAGGAGTCGTATGACGACTGTAAAAGGAACTAGAACTAGAAGTGTTGTAACATTTAATCCAACAACTATTGGCCCAGGTGAAGAGCTGTACATTAACATCCCCAAACTAAAGCCTGACTCTTGTTTAGTCCCAGGATCGTTTGCACTATTATTTGACTTCAAAAATTCTAATACAAAAAGCCGTTTCAATAACAACCTGTCTAAGTTAATAGCTGAACGTCTTCAGATTAAAGTAGCAGGTGAAACAGCTTATGACTGTTCAGGAGAGAGTTTGTACGAAATATACAAAGATCTATGGCTAACACTAGGTGACAGAAAGAAGATGACTGAACAGGGCCTTGCAAGTGAGAATCTCAGGAAGTTAATATCAGGTGACGACTCAGGAGCAAAAGTAGGTGATGTCAGTAAAGTAGCAGATGCACTTCTCCACAGTGTGTACGGTTCTAAGCTGAGGAAACCAATTGATAAAATAATTGCAGACCATGGACTCTACACACCGTTCTCCATGAATAACAATCCTATGTACATTCTCACACTCCCGCAATCAGATGAGATTATGACTGCTCAAGGAGGTGAAGCTAAGGGTAATTATAAACTTGATAATCTTGAGTTAGAATACGAGACCATTGAAAATGACTCCCTTGCGAGTGAAGTATCAAGGATGTATTCAACAGGCCGCTCACTGTCCTACAAACATGTCACACTAATGCGCACAAGTAATTGGGACAAGGATCTTACCATTGTCAATGAAAACATAAATATCCCCAGAAAGAGCATGTCAGCAATTGTCCTTCTATTTACCAATAGAGTGAGAACTGATTCTGAAGAATATATTTACCCAAACATTGATAAAGTGAACCTGACCATTGAAGGTGTGCCTAATGCAGTTTTCTCCCAAGGACTTCATAAAAATAGGTTCTTCGAAGAGGCAAAAAGATTCTTCTGCCCTATGTGTGAGAAATCCATGGCAGACGAGTTTATGTCCATCAGTAAGTTCTTCACCAATGGTTTCGCTCTAGTAATCGATCTTAGGTCAACACAGGATGATACCACTGGTGGAGGTAAGAAGATTGTTAACACACAATCAGGAGTACTTCTGGAAATTAAAAAGAGAGCCACAACAGCTGACGTTCAGTGCAACATTTTTGTTGTATCAGATGCCCTCCTTAACTTCGCAAATAGAGATCTATCAAGTATTCAATACTAGGCGTAGCCTGCGTAGCTTGTACTAATGGTAAAGCATAGAGATGCAACAACTTAAGCCCCCATTCAACATGCTCATAGTAGGAATGACAGGAAGTGGCAAAACTCAGTTTCTACTTAATATGTTAGAAACAGAGTACAATAGAGTTTTCGATTACATTGTCATTATATGTCCAACAATAGAGTGGAATATGACTTACATTAATTGGCCTCATATTAGTGACCACGGAGTTATACAAATTCCATGCTCACAAGAGATGATCGATCTTGTTCTCAAGGCAGTGTCCACCATATTCCGCGGTACTCAGACTCTCATTATAGTGGACGATTGTGCGGCAAGTCAAGATGTAAAGAAAAGAGTCTCGGAACTGGTGCGCCTAGCATTCTCCGCAAGACATTACAACTTATCTGTTATTGTAATTACCCAACAACTGTCATCAGTAGCAAAACCATTCAGGGAGAACATTTCCAGGTTAGTTACATTTTACAACCCTAGTCGCAGAGATATGAAGGTGATAGCAGATGATTACCTAAGTGGTGTTCCTCAGGAGACAATTACAGAGATTACAATAATATTAAAAGATGAGAAGTTCACCGCACTGGACATACTACTTATTCACCCTTACACATACACTATTAAACTAAACACCGCGTAGAATATAGAAGATGGCAACCGAATCTGACGAAGAAATATTTGAGGCTGTAAGAGAAGTAGAAGAGGCCGCAAAGACGCCGCAGAAGAAAGCAAGAAAAACTAAGCCCACCGCAGATAAGTCGCAAACTGAAAGCAAAAGAGACAAGCTTATAGAGCTATCGAAGGATGGTATAATAGAGAAGTCCGCAAGTTTTATAAGAAAGTCCAACAAGGATGTTGTAGATAGACTATACCATGAGTATGAAAGTCAAAGGATGTCATTCGCAAGTGACTTCTTATCAACACTTATAATTTCAAAGTTTGCTTCTATACTGGGGAGTTTCGGTGCGGTGGAATCTTCAGAGAAGCTGTCAGAGGAACTACTTAGTGACAACCTTCTAAAGGACAACGTAGCGTATCTAACCAGAACGCCGGATATCCCCAAACATTCCGTTTATAGGTCTCATATCAGGTGGTTGCACAACAGCCAAGCATGTAGTTGCCCATAAGTGGAGTAAGAAGGAGGAGTCCGAGGAAATATCTGAGGAAGCTAAACATATCTTATTAAATACAGAATGTCACATGAGTGGGGAAACGCCTGGGAGGGAACAGAATTCGAAGACATAATTAATGAGTTGATTGAAAAAAACCGACAGGAACAGAGAAAAGCTAGATAAGATTCAAAAAACTTTGGATTCGGTGGAGAGAGACCTATATTCACTTAAGGATAAAATCATAGGACCGCTACAATATGACCTTCAAACATTTAAAGCTGATACAATTAAAACAGTTGTAAAGATATATAAGAAACTAAATGAAATGTAATATTTTTAAACCAGGAAGTATATACAAATGAGGAGTAGCTGGGTGGGTAGAGGGAATACTACTCCATAAATTTAAATGGCTTATAAAATAGGCCAAAAAATTTTTACATATATAGTATAGGGAAAGATGGAAAAACTATTTAGGAACCAGAAGTTGAATGCTAGCGTGAGAACTGTTAGGGATTGTGAGGAGGTACTGTTTTACGCAAAAGATGTAGCAGAATCTCTAGGGTACGCTGATCCAAAGAAGGCAGTTCAAAAACTAGTTAGGAAACAAAATAAGGTAAGCGTATATGAGTTACGCAAGAGGGGCGAATCGCCCCTCTTCGAAAAATGTCACCCGCAGACAATTTTACTATACGAACCTGGTTTGTACCAGCTAATATGTAGCTCAAGGCTTCCAATAGCAGAGGACTTCCAGGACTGGGTATTCAAGGAAGTCCTTCCATCTATCCGTAAAACAGGATCATATGAATTACCAGATAGAAGGTCACTCCGATATAACCAAATGATTCTTATAAATGAAACGGACCTTCATCATACTGTTGTGAGTTACATCAGAGATAACCACCCAGAGGCTGTAGTAGTACCTGGCTTAGGTGAGAACCAGGATACAGTGTCAAAGAGATGTGATGCCTGGAAGAAGGGATACAAAGGTGGCCAGCCAGATCTTATTATAGAGAATCCTATGGGAAAGTATAAAGGATTTGCCATTGAATTTAAGTCTCCTAAGGGCACCGGGATTACAAGTGAGAAGCAGGAAGTATGGCTTGAAAAACTGAGGGGGAATAGGATACATGACAATGATATCCGACAATCTGGTACAAACTTGTATTAGAATTAACGAGTACTTCTCACTTAAGAAAAAAGTTAAAACAGTAGTGGTGAAAAATGTAGTTAGCAACAAGGAACTACACAAACCAAAGTTCAAATCACATAAGTACTAGTTTACTAACAAGTAGATTTAAGTTATCTCACCAGTTATCTTGCAAGTAAATTTGAGACATCTTACAAGTAAATTTAAGTTATCTCACCAGTTATCTCACAAGTAGATTTAAGTTATCTTACAAGTAGATTTGAGACATCTCACAAGCAAATTTAAGTTATCTCACAAGTAGAATTTAAGATATCTCATAAGACTAAACCCAGTTAAACCTAAGGTATCTTACAAGTAGAATGGAAGATAAACCTGAGCAAATTCAAGTACCAGTAACAAGCGAAAAGAAGAAGGACCCAAGGAGAGTAGCTGCAGGAAAACGTTTAGCTGCAATCAGCAGAATAGCCAAGGAGAGGAAAAAGAAACTGGCTGAACCTGGGGAGTCACCTAGTAATGACAGTATGATTACCTACATAGGAGTGGCCATTGCATTGGTATCTCTAGTGCTAGCATATAAGGTGCATCAGAGGGAAACAAAGGAACTAGAACCTAAGCACATCCCTGAAACTGTAGAAGTAACTAGGAAAGCTGATGAGTCCAAGTTAGATTCACTTGAATGATACATTAAACATACTATATATTATAACGGGATGAGTAAAGAATCAAAGATGACTATGGAAGTGTACAACGCGGTGTTACTCACAGCAGGAGCAGTTGGTATATCAATGGCATCGAAAAAACTATTAAAAGAACCATTAGGTACCCCAGAAAACGTAAAAGGAATGGCGAAGTTAGCCGTCTCAGTTAGTCTTTCATCTCTACTGGTCTCTTACTTGAAAGAAAAGAAGTATCTACCAGATGATCCATTCAAAACCTAGGTAAGACTATATAATGGCGGGAGCAGTAGCAGGAGGACTTTTTAATGCATTTGCATTTGCTGGAGCTGGATACCTATTTAAAATGTTTGACAAGAATGGATACGCTAAGGAAGCTCATAGACATAACCTTGCAATGGAGAACCTAACAGCTGAAAGAGAGAAGTACCTTGAAGAAGTCACTGATAGAAGAAATAAAATTGCCCAACTAAAGTCAGAACTAGCTGAGGCAAATAAGGATATTAACTCAACGAACAAGTCACTGGAACTCACTAGAAGAATCAGTGAGTTAACACGTAAGGCTATGCCAAGAAAGCCGCGATTAAGTAATCACTACAAACCTAGCATAGAGATGGAAGAATATACAGCAATCTTTGGTTTAATTACAGGTGGGGTGGTTGGAGGGGCAGCTGATTTAATGCTATAAATATGGCAAAAAATTTCTACATATATAGTATAGGAGAATGGACTGGCTTACAATGGTAACACTTGATGAAATGGAACGTCTAGGTAGAAATGTAAATACAGTCGAAGAGTTGGAGGTTGTTGTAAGGAATTACGTGGAGAGTAAAATAAAAACAAGACGTATATATGATCCAGTATGTAGTGAATGTGGTAGTAAGTCTATTGTAATGATAAGTGGAGCAGAAACATGCACAGAATGTGGAACAAGTGATATGAATAGTTTTACATACTATGTTAGTTACAACAACAATAAGGACGACTACTTGAAAAAGAAGTCTTGTCATAATAGAGTCCGTTGGTTTGAGAGACACTTATTCGAACATGTTGCTTCTGGGGATAGGGACACCATAAGGGAGCAGTTTAGAAGTATTGTAAGATGTATACAAAGACTTAGACTGCAAAGGGGGCGCAACATAATTAGATACAAGTTTTACCTACTGAGGATAGCCAGCATGAATGGTATCACCTTGAGAAACCCTCCTGAGGATATTAAGACTCAAAGGATAGTGGACATCCTTGAGGACAGATTGTATGGGAAAGTTTTTGTTGAGCTTGGATGGAAACCTGAGAAGTGTAAATATTACGATAACTGGAAAAGTAAAAACACTTAAAGAAATACTAATATAATAAATTAAATAAAATACTTAAAGAAATATTAATATAATAAATTAAATAAAATACTTAAAGAAATACTAATATAATAAATTAAATAAAAGACTTAAAGAAATATTAATATAATAAATTAATTAAAATACTTAAAGAAATATTAATATAATAAATTAAGTAAAAGACTTAAAGAAATATCGGTATAATAAATTAAATAAAAGACTTAAAGAAATATTAATACAATAAATTAAGTAAAAAACTTAAAGAAATATTAATATAATAAATTAAATAAAAGACTTAAAGAAATATTAATATAATAAATTAATCTAAAGAATAAATTAAAAATCAATTCAAAATAAATTATTAATTAAATAGCCCGATTTATTTTTACATATATTATATAGAGGAACAGTTGAAAAATGGCGAGTTATTTTAACATGAACGAATTTAGTGTAGAACAACTTTTTGCTCTCAGCGAGATCGTTAATAGTGATAGTGATAGTGATCTTGAGGAAAGAGTGGAGGAAATCATAGCAGACAAATCCTACAAAGTCAAACCTAAGGATAAGGGTAAAGATCCTCTTAAGGAAGAAAAACAATTCGTAGATGAAGCAGACCGCTCAACTGACCCTAAGAAACCCAGACGTCTCCCCCTGAACTATAAGGGTAAAAGAGGTATAATGCCAACGTGGAAGTACTCTGAAAGACAGAAGGCTAAGGCCCTGCTTGTGGAGGAGGCATACCAGAGTTTACTAGCAAGGGGAGTCGAGGGGTTACCACCAACAATGGGAGGTAGATGGCGCACAGATGATCCTCAGGTGAATGCGGAAATTAGGAGAATCGAAAACGAGAGAAATCCTAAGCGTCCCAGAGGTAGACCACCAAAGCCTAAGGTTGATGATGAAGTTAAGGTTCCTAAAAGGAGAGGTAGACCACCAAAGCCTAAGGTTGATGGTGAAGTTAAGGTTCCTAAAAGGAGAGGTAGACCGCCGAAGCCTAAGGTTGATGTTATACGGAAAAAGCCTAAGGTTAGGAGGCAAACTGTTGCGGAACGATTCCTGAGCCAAAATAGGATAAAACTCTCAAATAGTATTATAACTCCAACAGGTCCAGGTAAGTTTACGATCAGTGTGGATCTTAATAAGAAACCCACAAGGAAAGCTCCTGAAGTGCCCAAGGGTGTAGCTCCATGGAGACCGACACCTAAACCCAGAACTAGACTTCCTCCTAGGGAAAGACCTGTACCGAAACCCAGAACGGTACTTCCTAAGGAAAGACCTGTACCCAAACCTAGAACCAGAAAACCAGTGTCTCCTCCTCCTAAGGTCCGTAAGCCTGCGAAAGTGTCGAGGGAAGTTAAGGAGCAACCTACAGTGGTAACACCAGAGGAACACGAAATTGATCCATTTGGAACTTATCTCGAAAAGCCATCCCACAGGAAAATTGAAACAGCCGCAAATGGAGCTGCTGTAACTTAGTCAATAACTCCTCAGTATATGGATCCCCTGGACCAGGTGACCGCAAGTAGGCAGGTAGTAAGAGGAATACTTGTGAATGAGTTGAAAAGAATGGGAGGGTTGAAGTACACGGAGACAATAAAGGTGAGAATGTCGAAGGAGATAGATAACGGTAAAACAAAGAAGGACTCAATCTACTTCAAGTCTAAAACTGGCACCGCAACTAACTTCGAGGATATTGAAAGTACAGCTGCTCAAAACCAACTGACAATCTTATCTAGAATTGAAACATTCCAAAACTTAGGTTCAAACTGGATTATACTTAATATTGAGAGCCATTACGTGAACATTGCAATGTACAAACCTCTGAAGGGTAGTTCATATATGAAACTACCTGAGGACATTAGTAATCCAAAATGTGGTCTCATCAATATGAAGAATAATGACGACAGGTGTTTTCTGTGGAGTCATGTGAGGCATCTAAATCCTAAGACTAGAAGAGCAACTACTATTACACGGAAGGATAGGAAGTTCGTAGACAACCTGGATTATAGCGGCATAGACTTCCCTGTGAAGATAAGCGACATTGATAAAATTGAGAGGAAAAATAGTATTAACATATCAGTGTTCGGTTATAAGGGTAAAAAGCAGTTCTATCCTATAAGAAACTCAAAGGCTAAATATGATGAGCATATGGAGTTGCTACTTCTTGGTGATGAAAATGGTAATAACCACTATGTTCTCATAAAGGACGTAAACAGAATGCTTTTCAGCGTAAGTGGATACACACACAAGAAACACTTTTGTTTACATTGTCTTCATAGTTGTGTGAGCGAAGAGGTACTGGAAAAACACAAGGAGACATGTTTGGAGGTAAATGGAACTCAGGCCACAAAGCTTCCCAAGGAAGGTACTAAAATAAAGTTCAAAAATCACAGGAACTCAATGCCTGTACCGTTTGTGATATACGCTGACTTTGAGTCTATACTGGTTCCAGAAGAGAGAAAAGTTGATTCTGAAAACCCTGAGGACAAAAGTAGTACAGACCTTTACCAGACACACAAGGCTTGTAGTTTCGGGTTAAAGACCGTCTGCCATTATGATGATAAGTACTCTGGTGAGTATATGAGCTACGTTGGAGAGGATGCTGCATTGGTCTTCCTAAAGACTGTATTGAAAGAGTCCTTCAAGTGTAGAGATATGGTCAACAAGATATTTAAGAAAAAGATGGTAATTACACCTGAAGAAGAAGCTGAGTTCTGGAAGACAAGAAACTGTTCAATATGTGGTAACGACCTTGGTGAGGACAGAGTGAGAGACCATGATCATGTAACAGGACTGTACCGTGGAGCTGCTCATAATATATGCAACCTGAAATATAGAATTACATGGAAAGTGCCTGTGGTCTTCCACAATCTGAGAGGTTATGATAGTCATCTGATTATACAGGAAATCGGTAAGTTCAAGATGAACATAAATGTGATCCCAAATACCATGGAAAAATATATTTCATTCTCACTTGGAAAAAATATTGTCTTCATAGACTCCATACAGTTTATGGCTTCTTCCCTAGAAGCGCTTGTGAGTAATCTTTCACCCGAGGACTTCAAGATAGTAGGTAAGAGGTGGAAGGGTGAGGACTTCAATTTAGTAACACAAAAAGGAGTCTTTCCATATGAATTCCTGGATGACATTAGTAAACTCAATACGGAGGGTCTTCCTAGTAGAGATAAGTTTTACTCATCACTGTATGAGTCAGAGGTGAAGGATGAAGATTACCAAAGAGCTCTAAAAGTATGGGATCACTTTGGGATGAAAACCATGAGAGACTACCACGATCTCTACCTAGAGACTGACGTACTTCTTCTAGCTGATGTTTTTGAAAACTTTAGAAGAACATGCCTTGAAAATTACAAACTTGACCCTGCACATTACATGTCAGCACCTGGTCTAAGTTGGGATGCCTTCCTGAAACAGTCAGGTGAGGAAATAGAACTTGTAAGTGATATGGATATGTTACAGTTCTTTGAGAAGGGAATGAGAGGTGGTATAAGTCATATTGCTCACAGACACTCCACAGCTAATAATAAGTATATGGAAACGTACGACGAGACAGCTGAAAACAAATACCTTATGTACCTCGACGCCAACAATTTATATGGCTGGGCAATGTCACAACCTCTACCTAATGGAGAGTTCGAGTGGGTTGAGGAAGTTGATGGTATGAATCTAGATGATTACTTAGGAGACAGCGAAAGAGGTATGGTTTTAGAGGTTGACCTGGAATATCCACAAGAACTTCACGACTTACATAACGGTTATCCTCTAGCACCAGAGAGTAAAGAAATTAGTGCTTCCATGTTGTCAAATTATGCGAAGAGTATTGCTGAGAAATTCCAGCTGACAATCGGAGGAGTAAGAAAACTAGTAAACTCACTAGGACCCAGGAAAAACTACGTCCTACATGTACGTAATCTGAAACTCTACACAGACCTCGGAATGAAACTCACAAAGGTTTACAGAGCGGTTACATTCAAGCAATCTCCCTGGCTTAAGAACTACATCGACTTCAACACGAAGAAAAGGTCAGTAGCCCGTAACACGTTCGAAAAGAACTTCTTCAAGTTGATGAACAATTCGATCTATGGAAAGACGATGGAAAATCTTAGGAAAAGAGTTGACGTAAAATTAGTGTCATCAAAAGACGACCTCCTAAAACTGACAGCATCACCCTGCTTCCAGTCACATAGAATCATGAATGAGAACCTGATAGTTGTAAAAAGGATGAAGGAGGTTCTGACTCTAAATAAACCGTGCTATGTGGGAATGAGCATCTTAGACTTGTCCAAGACTTTAATGTACGATTTCCATTACAACACAATTAAGAAGGAGTATGGAAGCGGGTCAAAGTTACTGTTCACCGATACGGACAGCCTGATGTATGAACTGAAGACGGATGATGTCTACGAGGACTTTAGGAGGATTGGTGAAGAGCAGGACTGTTGGGATAATTCAGATTATCCAAAAGATTCTCCGTACTACTCAACCCACAACAAGAAGGTAATAGGTAAGTTTAAGGACGAAGCTGAAGGAGTACCAATAATTGAGTTTGTTGGGTTAAGGTCGAAGATGTACTCATACGTGAAGGAAAACGGTGGAGGTGGAATGACTGCTAAGGGAGTCAAAAAGTATGTGATCAGGAATAAGCTCACCCACGAGAACTTCAAAAATGTAATCAACACGAAAGGTAGGATGAGACATAATATGAACACAATCAGAAGCACCAAACACAAAATTGGAACTTATGAAATGAGGAAGGTTACCCTAAGTTGCTTTGATGACAAAAGATATATTCTGGAGGATGGAGTTACCAGTTATGCTTATGGTAACAAGAATATAATAAGTAGCAACTAGAAGGTTCCAGCAGAGTAGAAAGTAATAATCCTAAGGGGAATACAAACAGGAAGGGCCCCCTGTCCTGTGTTCCCTCAAGGGTGAAATAAAAGATGTTGAAAAGGCTTTGGAAAAGAGAAGTTAAACAAGATTGGTGAAGATTTGAGAGAAGTGGATAGTTTTAATTTAGTTGGAAGATCTAGCGTTCCGGGAAAACAGCTGTGGTCTAGAAAATAAAACATTGATTAAAAAAGAATTTTAAACAATTCACTTTTTGGTTCACGGAAAAATGAAGCCAAAGTAGAGTGGTCTAGACACACTAGTTCCTATACTACTAAGTGGCTAATGCTAAAGACGTTTTTACTTTGCCAATTTTGAAATCTTTAGTTGACAATCATCTTTGCTGTGGTTAGGACCAAGCCTGGGTTAGGACTATCGAGGGATTAGTGAGCTTAAGGAAGCAACGTTTCTGTCAACACGGAGGGACGTCATCTGAAAATTGGTATCACTAATATTGGAGGCGTTTTGCATCATAGCGCTTATGTAAGGAAGCAAAAAACTTTAAAAACCTTATGTTTTGTCATATGTGTTGAAGATTACCACAAACAGACAAACTGATACAAACACAGTTTTTAATCC